ATGCCACCGAGAAGAAGAAGAAAGAAGAAGCGAAAGATATGGCTTTGCCAGGATTGTGCGGGAGACTTGAAGCCAGCGGTTTCGAATGGCGTTGTTATGAGCGGTTCCAATGCTGTCGGTTGTTGATCGAGTTCCATAGCACTATCCTTCGGTAACAGAGTCCGGTGCGTCTGCACGATTGTCTCGGTTCGGATAATGTTCTGTAAGCTGTCTCGCTGGTATACAAAGTCCTCTGTCAGCCATGTTGCAGCGCATAAGCGCAGAAGACCTAAAATGGCCAACGGGAAGAATACGGCGTCGATGCCAAAGCCAATAGCGACACCGGGAAGTGCGGCTCCAGACATGGCACCAATAAGTATATAGAGTGCCGACACGCCTTGAAGTGTTGTTATGATGGTTTTCAACGTTGTCAATGAGGCAACTTCAACGTGGGTGTGCTCGGGCAAACGTAAGCAGTGCGGAGCACAGGCCGTAACCATCTCTTCTCCGCCATTCCATCCGTTCGAGGTCCAGAATATCGCGTTGGTGGCTGCTAAATCCTGACGACTCCATTGGACAGCGCGAATGCGTCGATCAGCTATCGCAGCGTATCTCCAAATTATTGATGTCGGGTTATAGCCGCATAGTCGATCGTACCATCTCGGGCGCCGATCCGTCAGATACGATATTGTAGGCGTACCAGATATGATATGCTGAATCACGACTTCCATCAGCACTTTATCTTCAGGCAGGAGTATAGCGCAGATTAGACTTACCGCGATCAATGGGGCAAGACACAAAGTGAACAAGGAGACCCACTCGGTAAAACTAACACATCGGCTGTTGTAGCGAATGGGCTCAACCTCGATGTTGAAATACGACATTGGAGACGATGCGGCCGAGACATTCGCGCAGAAGAATTCGCTAGGGATATCTGAACCTATCCTTCAGGCCCCCGGTGACCGGGAAATTACTTACGCACGTAAGCACGCACAGTGACACCTACCACCGCGTAATATCGGATGCATGTAAGCGCTGGTTATATGTACCATCCCTTGTGGAACCATGACTTCGCTTTGTTTGACCTCAAACCTTGAATGTGTCTCGATATGGACACAAAATTATAGCCAGAGATATGCCAAGAAGTTACCCAACAAGAAGTTGCGTCCGTAGCGAAGTCCCATGTGTCGCCTCAGCAGACAGCTACCAAGAGAGACAGTGGCAGCGCTTATCCTTGATACCGTACCTAGGTATACGTAGCTCAGACATCGGAAGCAGGTGTTCTCAATCGCAGCAGTTTGAGATTGCCGTGTTCCTCCGCCATCTTAAAGATGAGTGAGTTGCTAGAGATGAGGCCAAAACGATGGAACAGTCCTGGTGGCTGTTTTGATGCTGCCCAGGTGGTTACGTGTTATTTGCGACTGAAAGTGAGTACCGACCTGTTTACATCGTTTTGATCGCAAGTCCAGATGGCTCATAGCAAATCCGACAGCCGTAATGGAAATTGAAGTATTAGTGTTGCGATGGAATCAAGCCGCGATTGAGTCGGAGATAACGCTTAGTAATCCCGCACTGGCCCCCAAAGCTGAGATGGAAATCTGAGGTACTCGCGTGCCTCGCATCTGAGCTTTGTACACGGATGCGACTCCCAACATGCGGACTCGCATTGTTGAGAAATTCGAGAGCATTTCCCTTCTCCCTGCATTCCTTTGCATGCGATCCTACTGAGTCTGCGGGGCGTATGGCCGCGTCACATCAGTCCCGAGGTCTTTTTGCCTTTTATCATACGAGCTCAGCGAGTGTGCCCATACCGAATGCACGGTAAATTCCATTCCGAGATTTGTCAAAGCTTTGGATACGGATGAATACGCTCCGCTAGCATCAACTACCGTTACCGGCTCCACGCCCATCAGCCATCGGAGTGCACCCGGGCGTTGGCGCGGTGCGCTGAGTTCTCGAAACCTCTCAGAGTCTTCTCACATGCAATTTGAGTTTGCGTAAGTTTGTGGCGCCTCTCTACTACCGAGGCGTCAGCCTTGCCCGCAAGTGAGGCGCTGAACACCAATATATCGAGCGATGGATTCGCCGAGATCGTGGGGAGACCCATCGTGGATACCCCGCATTTTGTCCACGCGGGGCGAAGTAGTTACCCCTTGAAAGGTAGCATCTCCGTCATCAGAATACAAGCCAACGGTTTATGGATGGTTCCCGAGAAATGTTAACAACGATGGCGATTCAGTCGATACACCCACCCACAGACCGGGAGAATGCATCCGTTTGCGGTCCGGCAGTCAATACCACTCTTGGCGTCGATATCCTACCTTGCACGTCCCTCCACTACACATCTCATAGTCGGTGCACTCAGGTCAGTCGCGTTTTGGCGAAAGCGCAAACAGAGAAAGTTCCGAGGACGGCTTGTGTAAAGACTGATGTGGCGCAAAACCATAAACTCTGGATTACTACTCGTCCGCTAGATGCGCCGACACCTCATGACCAGCTGCCTAGACAATACGCGCCGGAAGCTATCCACCAACGATCCAAGCCTATTGTGGCTCTTTCCCCTGGCTGATGCTCTGGAGTGCGAGTTCGGATAGGTCAGCGCACGATGTTCTTCATGCACCGTGTCACCTCACAAGGCTGTCAGACCCCACTTCCATCAAAATGAGAGCGATCTGCAACCCAAAATTCCGGGAGGATGCTATTGAAGCATGGGTGTATCTGCAGCCACGGCGGGCTTTGAGCTTACGTTGAATCTTTCCACATCGCTCTTCGTCCGGACGCAATAGACTTCGACATTGTCCGAGGTTCGTTGTGAAGCGGAGCCTCTGGCTTGTGACATCTATTCCACCGGGCAAGTTAAGTATCGTGCGTTGCACAGCGATGGTAGAAGCATTCACTATAAGCAAGAACTTCATTTGATTCGACAGCCACGAGTCGAACGCACAACTACTCACTATGAAGCTGGCAACCCTTCTTTCGTTGCTTCCATTGGCTCTAGCAGTCCCAGCACCGCTGGAAAAACGAGCAAACCCTACCGTCGTTGCTCCCTCGCCTCAAGCCACGGTTGCTGGCATCAACGTATTGGGTGTTGAGTCCTTCAAAGGCATACCATACGCACAGCCTCCGATCGATCAGCTACGACTAAAGCCACCTCAGCCCATAACTTCCTCCCTGGGAAAGGTCGACGGAACCGGTATTCCAAAAGCATGCCCACAGTTCTTCTTCAGCATAGATGAGAGGAATATCCCCACCAACGTCTTAGGCACTATCCTAAACCTACCACTTCTTCAGACCGTCACAAATGCTGGAGAGGACTGCCTTACTATCAACGTACAGCGCCCAGCTGGTACCAAAGCTGGCGACAAACTTCCTGTACTATTCTGGATCTTTGGTGGCGGTTTCGAACTTGGATCTACTGCAATGTACGATGGAACGAGCCTTGTCGCTGAATCAGTCGCTCAAGGCAAGCCCATCGTCTTTGTTGCAGTCAACTATCGCGTGGGCGGATTTGGCTTCATGCCCGGGAAAGAGGTACTCGCCGATGGCTCCGCCAATCTAGGGCTACTAGACCAACGATTGGGCTTGGAATGGGTTGCTGACAACATTGCTGCATTCGGAGGAGACCCTGAAAAGGTTACGATCTGGGGGGAGAGTGCAGGTGCCATCTCTGTGTTGGATCAGATGATGCTCTACGATGGCGACAACAACTACAATGGCAAGCCGCTATTCAGAGCTGGCATCATGAACTCGGGCTCGATAGTTCCAGCTGATCCCGTTGACTGCCCCAAAGGTCAAGCCATCTACGACAGGGTATGTGTTCAATCCTACTCGGTGCCACATAACACGATGCTCACCTCTCCCAGGTCGTTGAAGCAGCTGGATGCGCCAGCTCTGCCGATACCTTGGCGTGTCTCCGCACAGTACCATACACCAAGTTCCTCAATGCCGCCAATACTGTCCCGGGCATCTTGGGCTACTTCACGGTCAATCTTTCCTACCTCCCTCGCCCTGATGGAAAAGCCCTCTCGGATTCTCCCGATGCCCTTGTCAAAGCTGGAAAGTACACCAAAGTACCCTTCATCGTTGGTGACCAAGAAGACGAGGGTACACTCTTTGGTCTCTTCACTTCGAATTTGACTACAACCAAGGAAGTAACCACCTATCTCTCAACCATCTTCTTCCAGAATGCTTCACCAGCGCAAGTCGAACAGCTAGTAGGCAGCTACCAAACTATCACCGAGGACGGCTCGCCCTTCCGCACCGGCCTGCTCAACAATTTCTACCCGCAATTCAAGCGCGTCTCCGCTATTCTCGGCGACGTTACCTTCACCCTCACACGTCGCCTCTTCTTGGAAGTCACTGGTCAAGTCGCACCCGATGTACCATCCTGGTCCTATCTCGCGACATACGATTTCGGTACACCCATTCTAGGAACGTTCCATGGCTCCGACATCTTGCAAGTCTTCAACGGTATCTTGCCCAACAATGCCGCGAAGACTATTAGAGGCTACTACTACTCATTCGTCTACAACTTGGACCCCAATGAGGGGAACACTTTCATGGACTGGCCGAAGTGGAGTGAAGGCAGGAAGCTGATCAACTTTGGAGCGAATAAGAACAGCTACCTCGATGACGACTTTAGGGGTGATACACACGAATTCTTGGCGCAAAACGTAGCGAGTTTGAGGGTTTGATCTCGATGATCTACATAGCACCTGACCTGCATGAATCCTTCGGAGTTGGACATAGCAGCAAAAAGAAAAATGAACAAAGTTTTACTCAATCACCCCTTTCGGTCTCATGACCCACCGCTGATGGTTTGTTGTGAGCTGCATGACTCAACTACGTTGCTGTCCCCATTCTTTTTCACAGGCCGCGAACTGCCAAGTGCGTTTTCAGGCCCTTCGCCAATCTTTCCTTCACAGATCTCGAACACTTCTTCCGTACATTATCCATCGCTGTTGGCCTAACCTTTTCTCCTTGCGCGGCATCGTGTATGACGTCTGCATATTGGAAACAGTTCACTTTTGAAGCAGCGCAAACTCGTAGATAGTCGTCTCCTCAGCTTCCTCCATGGCTGCCTAATCATTCAGGATGCTTGCGTACATACATCTCACTGAAGAATGACGATCGTGGTCGCATTGATGGGCGGAGATACCACGGATTTACTATGGAGATTACACGGGCGTTCTGTGGTCCGGCTCTGAGAGCCGTGCACACGCGTCACCTTCTCACATCACCGCGTTGAACGAAGCAGCCACGCGTACGAAGATGGCAAGTGGATTCCACTGACGGCGTAATGTGCTTGTCTTTGCATCGGCTTAGCATACTCATACCAAAGGTTTATGTGAATATGAAGTTGATCTCGAAGTTTCTGGGCTTATCGGCACACAAGCAACGCTTTGACGTACGTGTTGTATTCAGCAAGAACATAGAGCTAGTAGATGTCGCAAACAAAAGCGAGCGTGACTGAGGATCAGGTATCGAGAAGGAAAAGACCGGACCAAACAATTCAGCGAAAGAAATACCGAGGAAAGCTGTTTAGCATCCCTCTACCGCATCGTTGGCGATAGCTACCAGTCACACGTAACGACGGCATGACGATAGATGCCCATCATGGACTCTGAACAGCCCTCAGCTCCACTCTTATATCTCACCTCCTCCGCTTTACACTTGATCTCTCGGTCCTTGGGCAAGGCGGGTTCGCCTTGCTTTGTAGGTGGTGCATCCCAATCTTGGCACCAAAGAGATCCAGGATTGGTTCCATCGTTGAGATAGTCGCAACTACTGCTGTCGATGAGGTTGCCCAGTTCGTACGTACCAGCAGGCCAAGGTGGGTTATCGACATTGCCTTCTGCTGGTACAGTTTTCATGGCTTGCGTGTCAAGACGACATTCGGAGGACTCGCCGTAATCGCTATTGAAGAACAACCAGGTGTTTTCGTTCGAGATGTCATCGATGTAGTTTTGGTAAATGATAGAAAGCGCTTTGTTCTTGCGAGACGGTGTTGCCGAAGGCACAGGGCTCGGTGAAGTTGGACTCGAGTCGTTCGGGCTTTCATCGTCATCGTCATCGTCATCGTCCCCATGGTCGGCCTTTGTCGCCCCGTTCCAGATGACACGGATGTTGCTGTCAGAACCCCTCGCCCAGCTCGAATCGTCACTGGTAACATAATCACGAATAGCCTTGACGCGCTCCACACCAGTCTTGCTGTCGTCCCAAGGTTTGGTCGAGTAGGACAGGTATGTAGCAATGAGGCCCGCGACCTGAGGTGCAGCTATAATGAAATCGCAGGTCAATATCAAGTGCTTCTCAGCCGCATTCTTGGGAGAGATCGCTTACCTAACGAAGAGCCACTTGGAACTGTCCGCTCCTTGTCCACCTTTGATTGGCAATCAACTCGATCACCCAGCGCATAGATACTGACAAGTGGACCGGCTTGCGAGAAGTCGGCTCGATTACCTTCATCGTCGCAACCGCCGACGATGATGAGAGGGATGTCATCATCCTGAAGAACCATTGGAATTTGGTCGACATCTTTTCGGTTCGGCTGCTTGGCTGCGTTGCCTGCGGCTGCGACAAAAGGTACCCCAAGTTTGGACAGTGTACGGAGATCATCTCCGTACAGTTCTTGCTTCTGTTTGTCGTTCTTAGCTGCCTCAGGTGTGATTCCGCCTAAGCCGATGGCAATTGATGTGGTCACCACGCTCCGCGAAGCACGGCCTGGGTGACTGTTGATGTCTCTCAGAATCAAATACATGATGTTTTCCCAGTCGCCAGATTTGGGGTACATTTTTGATGACACAAGATTCGCCTGCAGGATGTGACCAGGATGTTAGCAAGCCGTTCTAAATACTTAGTAGATACCTAGATGGACATGGGAGACCATGAAAGAGAAGATCATGCCTAGGAAAGCTCGTCCGACAAAAGACAGGCACCAGAAGACTTGATAAGGTCGTAAAGCGTCAGCAACGTACCTCTTTTGCAAGCCCATACTTCTTGCCCACGGCTTTTGACGCGACATAAGTCCCGTGCGATGGCTTGTCAACATTGTCATCCGAATCTGGACTTTGGTGGTTTTCGATAGATGATCTGGATTGGAGTACGAGGTCGTTATCTGTCTTGAACTCTAACTCATCGTCACGCTGTGATGACATTATTAACGATGTGAAAGACTTGGGCTCATTTACTCACATTCTTGACTTTGATCTGGACGCCCATGTCTATCAAATATACATATACATCCCTGCCAGGATTCTCGGGGTACACAAAATCGGTGGCCTGGCTGAGTGAACCCCCCCTAGATCGTACACTTTTAGTTGGCTAATGAGAGCTGTGGAGATATATCATACGTACGGATACAGACTATCCATCAGCAGAGCGTCATCGGCGTTTTCCTGTTTCTTCCATGTCAAAGCTCTGGAAACGAGCTTCTCTCTTCTGTCGATCGCCTCTGACCGCTTGTACACTGCATCGAGTGACTGCTCAGCCGGGAGAGCCCGGAGAGATACCACGGGAAGCTCTTCCGTCATACCGGAAGTGTCTTCGTGATCCTCTACTTCTTTCTTTGCCTCCTGTGTCAAGTTGAGACTTCCATATCCGAGGATCTTGTCGTCCGGTCCGATCTGGTACATCCAGGAACCAGGCACCACCTTGCTTTTCAAGAAATCGTGGTAGTTCTTGATATCAATATCTTTCTTTACCAGAGCTATGTACTCCTTGATGTCTCGGCGGGAAATAGAGTGTTCTTCGCGGGTTGGTGGAGGATCATGGCTGGCACCCTCGCCTGCGTTACCATGAACTGCAGTGCTACCGTGATGCGTCGGCTCATGTCGCGACAAGTGGTCGCTATTCAGTGCGGGAGCTGTGGCTATGCCGGTTTGCTGCTCGACAGGAGGGACGTCTTCCCTTTGCTCAAGCGCAGCATTGTTCTCAGCGTCTCTAGTTGTAGCGTCAGCTAGATACGTCGGGATGAATGCCTGCGCAACGCAGAGCAGGAGGGAGAGATAAATAATGCGCATTTGTAATTATGCAAGAATTGGTTCGAAGAACTAAGCAAAAGATAGGATGTGAAGTCTGGTTTGTGTGTAGATAATGGGACAATTGGTGCAAGCAATGGAGATGTAGTTTAGCCATACTGAAGATTGTCGTGTCTCTTTGTACCCACTTCAGATGTCTCTTCAGCCCCAGCGACTTGGGTTTTGGGTCCAAATTTGCGTAATGATGCAACCGACTCCCTCACATGCTGTTGAGCGGCGTGAGTTCACCAGGGCCTACTGTCTTGAACCGAAACGCCTGTCGTGCAACTATCTACATATGGCATGCCATGGAGTTTACATCCGGCGTGATTCTCAACCATGCAAGGTTCCATTGGAGTGCGGGTAGGCCATTACGGAGACCATCAACTGTGCCAGTTCCGGGGCAGGCACACATATCCATGGAGCTGTTTGATCGGCCTGTAGATGCTTCGATAATCGGGGCGGAAAGTTGGCAGTTTGGTGTTTGACACAGCAGGCAGCAGTTGATAGAAGGGGCCAGATCTCGAGACGAGGCCATGATGTCGTCGGCAAGGTGATGCAGCATGAGTGGAGTTTAGTGGTGGTACAGCGGCCCCAGCATCCTAATAAGTGACAAAGAGGCATCGTCAAAGGAAGCACTATGAAACATGAGACGACCAGAGTTGGGACGCACGTCTACGTACTTGTTGGGGGGGTTCGCCATGATGGGGCAGCATGTGGGAAGGATGACGTCGCGTAATGATCCAGAGGCGACACGAGAGATGCTGCTTTGCGGCGGGTCGCTAATGAACTCAAAGTCTATTCGTTGTGATGAGGATTTTGGTAAGACGGCAGCGCGGGGCTAAGGTGACGAAGTTCGGCTGATGACGGATGACGTATGTTAGCTGTGCCACAAGATATTGCAGGTACGCGCTTTCGGCTGCTGATCAGATGCTTCTATTAGATTAAATAGAACTTCGAGGGGAGCGCCACCAGCATATGACAGTTGGGTAGATACGATCATGACACAGTGTCGGCGTTTAAGCGGGGGCCAGCCTCGCATCGAAGGATGGCGCAGGCGATGGTGGGTGGAAGCGAAACGGAGGTCAAGAACGCCGTCACTGGGACGCGCGGGCATGAATCAAGAGGGTGGAGTACTGGATGAATCTTGTGTGTATTATAAGTGCCAAAAAGCTAGACTCGCATGGAAGGTGAGCCCGAGGACTCTAGGGTAACCACGTGACAGAATGTCACTACGCCTCATACACCAGAGTCATCTTGCAGGATACCAACAGACCCGCTATGAGCTTTCCAACTATCGCACTGGCTCTCCAACGCATCCTTGTCGGTAATTCCTGCGATCTTGTCGTACTGCTCAACGAACTGCATGGCGAAGCCCTCGGATGTGTGCCAGCCCTGTATGGATGTCAGTAAAGTGATACAAGTGCCAATGAAGAGGGCTACGTACGATGTGGCAGTGCATCAGCCACGCTCCAGGGTTGTCTGTCTCGAAAGCGATGACAAGGTAGCCCGATGCTGGCAGCATAGCGGTGTCGCGACGCGGCGGGTTGTCGAGCTTGAGTGCAACATCATCGGTGTACTCTCCTGTACCCTGGGCGATGACAAAGAAATCATGGCCGTGCAAATGGATGGGGTGAGGTACTCCGATGTTAGTGCTGATGACTACGTAGACGAACTCATTCTCGCGTGGTAGGTGGAAGACGGCGTTGGAGGCCTCGAACGTCCGTTCTTTGCGCATAACTTGCATGAGCGTGGGATCGTCCCAGTACACGACCATGGATGTGCTGTTGAGAGCCCATTTGAACACGTTCTCGTCGTTGCGGCCGACAGATACAGGCTCATCGGCTGTGGACGACGTTGCTCCGACAGTCTTTGGGATGTGCGGCACAAGGTTCTCGGTCTCGTCGGAGCAGCTGTCTTCGTAGTCGTATGCGGAAGTGCTTGGCGTTCCAGCCGAGCCACCATAGTAGACTATACCGCGAATGTCGTCTTCGTTGTCGTTCTCGGAGCATGCGGACTGCGGAATCGCGCGCATCCAGAAGTTGTCGGCCACGTCTCCCTGATCAGCTGTTACAATGACGTCGTATCGTTGACCCATACCGATGCTGACAATGGTAGCTTCATAAGGTTTGATAGGTACAAGATCGGATGCAATGACAGTCATGGTGTGGTTGTCGATCATGAACTTCCAATGGGTGTCGACAGCGGCGTTGACGAGGCGAATGCGGTAAGAAGTGCCGGCGGTGAAGGAAACATTGTAGCGATGACCGCCGTCTCCGAAAGTGTTGGTGCCGTTGATCAGACCGTTGTCGAGAACTGGCGGACCATCCATCTCGGCGGAGAGGTAGAGCTCATCAACCGTCTGGTGGTCCCAGTCGTTGAGGAAGAGCATACCCAAGTCCTCGTCGTAGTTTGCCGTGGCAGGTCCATTGATAACAATACCGCCAAAGACGCCCTGCCAAGCCTGCAGGGCGAAATGCGAGTGATACCAAGTCGACCCGTGCTGGGTAGCTCTCCAGGTGTAAGTCATTGACTCGCCTGGTGCTGTTGGACATTGGGTAATGGAGCTCACACCGTCCTGGTCGTTGGTGTTCTTCTGCCAAAGACCGTGAAAGTGTATGCTCGTGCCGTTCATGGATGTTGTAAGAGAGTTGGTGACATGAACAACGACCATGTCGCCCCAGTCCGCGATGAGCGTCGGTCCCGGTATCGAGCCATTGATGGCCATCGCTGTCCGAGATACGCCGTCAGGTGCTACAACAACATCGGTGAGCTCTAGCCAGTACTCGCGGGTCACGCCAGTGTCTGGGATCTCGACGGACGCGTCGGTGTCGATGGAGTGATCACACCACTCCGAGCGTGTGGAAGCAGTGTTGCCATCGCATGCTCTTCTCGGCACTGGAAATGGTTTAGCTAACGTTGCCTCTACATGAGAATGAGGTGCAACTTACTCAAGTTCGTAACGAAAGGCGAAGAGGCCGCAAAGCCAGTCAAGGCTGCAAGACCGAAAGCGCCTCGTAACAACATGATGTGAATGTCTGAGAGGTGTTTGGTACTCGAAATAAGATGATATGTAGAGCCAACGAGCAATGATCGCGCAACGAGTGGAAGTGAGGACTAAAGCGAATGACAAGATACGAAAGACTCTAGAAAGAAGCTCCCAAAGAGTGATCTGAGCTCAGTCAAACGAATGTAAAGACAAGCTGATGGTTTTCCACAACAACAAGTCTTCGCTTCCTTTATATCGCCCTTGCATCCTACCTTCATGGCCTGTCTTATCCGAGGAATCTATTAGGGGCACAACCTGTGCAGTCTTGAACGACTCAAGGACGTCATGATAATCGAAACTTTCGCTCGTACTCTGCTTTCGTTCTCCTCCGTAGATAGTCTCATTGTTTATCGTGGGTCAAGTCTACCCTGATCCCTACTCCAAACTTCAGACGCCCCTTAGGGCATCACTTGGCGTAGGTACGCCGGCTGCTCGGTGATCTGCTAGCGGTATTGTGCATCTAAAAACGGCCGTGGGGTTACTGAGTAGGATGCGCAAAGTTTACCAGCGCATCAGGTGAGTCCCCACTCGATCGGTGCCATTCCGCCGCATCTGCCCATGGCATTATCGATTGTTGAGAAATCTTCGCGCATTGTCGGAGTTTGCTGACTCGGAATCGGAGGAAGGACGCGCCGCGGAAGGGCCGTCCATGATGACAGCTCGGCGCGCCGTTGTTGCTGGGTCGTGCCAGGTACTCAGTGGAGTAAGGTACATGAAGTCGAATAGACAAACTCTTCGAATATCCACTGAAAAACGGGTAGAATCTGCGTCTGAACGGTTCGATCGGTACCTAGAGAGATACGCGACAGTGGGGACGACAAGCATTCTCTAGCTTGAGCTTGGCAGTGCCAAAAATAAGACCCGCTCCGACTCGCACTACGTATCGCATCTGTGCTTTGAGTGGCTGAGGTTACGCGACGCCTGAGCATTGAGACAATTGAAGTCAGGCAGCATGCAACCATCGATAGCGCAGTACGCACTGTACGAGGGCGGGTCTTCATAGCCCTGGAGCCCTTCGGAGGCCTCCCAATGTAGTATACCAAGAGACATGGTTTTCACTCGAGGCGTCATGAGTATACGTGGAGACGTCGTAGTGCATCTGAGTCGCCCAGGGGACTGTAGAGGTAGGAACTGACTCAGACGATGTATCGAGTGTAATAAGGACAATGGAACTGCTGATTGTCAGCTGTTGCAACCATTCTTTACACGCTCGTTGCATTTCTGACGCTCTTTTCATATCCCTCAACGTCCACTCTTTCATCATGTATGCCACCATGCGCAGCGTACTTTTAGCTCTGCTTCCGCTTGCGGTCTTTGGTGCCCGCAAGCGTGATGTCGCTTCTACGCCTTTCCAGCTGTATGCATACAGTGAAGACATTGGTGGCTTGCCACTCTTCTATGCCGATGGTCTTGCATACCTCGGAGAGCCTGCTCTTTCCAACAGTACCGATGCTGCTGTCGTAACCTGTAAGTTCGGCTTCTTCGAGCCATCGCGTACCCAAGTTCATCCCAACTAACAGACACAGTCACAATCGATGTCAGCAAACACTTCATTGGAAACCCCAACGCTACCACCGCTACCGGTGAACCCACCTGGTCAAACACAGCTCTCTTTATTCCTTCGTCATCATCGATCGACAGGCGCGTGGGCTTTCTCCCACCCAACAACGGCACTGGCAACACCACGACACAAACATCGGGTTTCGCTTTCTACGGTTCCACGGTGATGTTGTATGGTGAAGATGGTACGGTCGCCACGTCATTTTACGGCATGAAGGCTGAGAACGGCCTGTATGAGTTGCATTGGAATGACACGGAAGGCAAGGTGCCTTTGACACTTCGGAGCATGGCGCCTAGCAGTGAAGCGTCGAAGCGACGTTGAAAAGATGTTGTTGTGATCTGGAAGGCTCTCGCAGAGTTGTCGTTCCAAGAGGCGTTAGGCAGGGAAGCTATGGGTAGTAGTAATTCTATATCAGCGGACTACAAATGTGATCGGTAATACACCAGTCTGCAACTCCAGGGCTGATACTTTAGATCGTCATTCTGCTTCGTTCCACTCGCAAGTTGCCAACAATCAAGTTCTCATCAAGTTCTGCGAGCGGTTTAATGCTCACAGAAGCTGTAAGTCGCCCTCTGCCATCCTTTCTCTGCGGTCTGGACAAACGCGCCCCTTTCCTGCATAAGCTTTTTGCGATGCTCACTTGCCTCTTGAAAACCCATAGGAAGGGAGTGCTTGGCTTCTTCGAAGTATTCGCGCACGTAGGCCATGAGCTCTTCAGGCAGTCGACCTTCCGTAGTGACAGAAGGACTTGCGAGTCCCTTCTCGGCTAGCAGATTGATGAGGTCTGGGGGGAACTTCGACAACGCTTCTTGGCGCGTCTTGTCGCTTGGTCCAAGTAGCGAGTCGACGTACCAGTCCATTTGTTGAGGCGGAATATTCGCCGTAGAGATGATGCGCTTCGTCGGATCGACAAGCCAAAGTGCAATAAAGCGACGATGTCCGGGCTTTGTAGGATCGATGAGACTAAAAGGAGAAACACGATGTTGACTAACATACGTTAGCCCAAGGCAATGTCCGAACAGAATCTTGACCGACTTACAAGACATTGGAGAAAGCTAGCAGCCGACCCTCACGCGTTTGTACGTTCCCGTAA